TGCTACTGAGTACACCTCCTAATGCCCCATGAACAGACCTGAACCTTGTCCTATCCTGTGCCATCCTCATCATCTCTGACACACTTGAGCCCACTGCTGCAGTCACTGTGTGTCAGCCCATCTGATTGGGATCTTCCTCTTTTTCACCATCCCTCCACCTTTCCAAGCATGGTGTCCGTTTCCAAGGAACAGCCTCTCCCAGCAATATGTCCAGTGTCTGAAAGATGAAGCTTCACTATATTTACCTCCAAGAAGCACTCTATCTGCACTTTTTCTAAGACATATCTATTTGTTCTTTTGGCAGTCCATGGGACATTCGGTACTCCTCTCCAACATAAAAGGTATCAATTCTTCTTGTGTCATCCCTCAGGTGCATAGCAAGTGACTGAAAAGACCATGGCCTCAACAGGCTTGTGTGCCTTTAGTTTTCCAGCTGACGTAAGTTCCTAAGCACTCTGGAGAGGTCCCTGACTTGCTCAGTGTAATACATCTTGTAACTGCTGGTCCCAAGAATGATGACAGTTGATCCAAGCAAAATGAGATCACTGACAACTTCAGTCATTTCTCCATCTATCATGATGTGGCCCGTTGGCCCAGTGGCGAAGTCTTTTGTTTTCTTGATGCTGAAATGTAATCCATATTGAAGGCTGTGGTCCTTGGTGGGTTCAAAATGCTCAACATGCAAGTGGCAGTTGTGTACTTCAATCAGTGTACCACTAGTTGATCCTTTTCTGTCTCCTTCGGTGGTAACGAGGTATACAATCTATCTCAGGAGAGTCTTCTCTGTTAAGCTGAGGAAATCCCTGGCACCTGTATTTCAGGGTCAAGATACCTTACCACCCACAGATGCTGAAGACCTGCTTTCTATGTGTGGAGAGAAGATACCTCCAACAGGAGAGCCAGCACAGAAAACTGTATTACCTTTTCCTTCAAGGAGACAGACCCTCTACAAAAAAGGAAAATCACTTCTTGAAAGGCAGAAATTATTTCTTACTGCTTCAAGCAATAGGGAGTATAATAGTTCAACACAGAATTACAGGAACTATTAAAGAACTATTACAGCATCTAATCTCATGTTATCTGATCATATATAATAGATACAAGTATAGTTTCAGTGATTAAAAAAATAAGAACTTTTTTCCCTACCACAAAACCAAGGCTGGTTAACTTACTGTATTACACTGGAAAATGCTCTTGATTAAAAAGATAAATAAAGGGAAATGACAAAGCAACATTTCCCTCTCTATTCGGCCAACGTTGTAAGAATACTGATGAACTGTCACAGACTGAAGGATACTAAGGAGAATTAAGAAGCGCTTGTGGCCTCGTGGTAAAGACCTGTGTTGCCAACCCAAAGGTGAGCCGTTTAAATCTACCAGGAGCTCCAGGGGAGAAACATGGCAATCTCCTCTCATGTGTTTTACAGCCTCTGAAAACCTGCTGGAGGGTCAGCTATGAGTTCATTCCAACTAGATGGCACATAATAATAAAATCAACAAGGAGAAATAACAGCTAAATATAATGTGGAACCGGAGACTGAATTCTGAAGCAGGAAACAGATATTAGTGGAAAAATTGGTAAAATACTGTAGTTAGGTACCATCAAGTCGAGAACAACACATAGCAATATGATGAACAACAAATCTAAACCCTGTGCCATCCTCACACTTCCTGATACATTAGAGCCCACTATGGCAGTCACTGCATCAATCCACCTGGATGAGGGTCTTTCCTTTGCTGACCCTTTGCCTTTCCGAGCATCATCTCCAAGGAACACCCTCTCTTAGCAACATGCCCAAAGTATGTAAGGCAAAGCTTTACCATCTTTGCCTCTAAAGAGCACTCCGGCAGCACCCTTTCCAAGACATATTTGTGTGTTCTTCTGACAGTCCATTGGATGGTTCAGTACTCTTCTCCAACACCATAGCTCAAAGGCATCAATTCTTCTGTCATTCTTATTCACTGTCCAGCTCTCAGATGCATAGCAGGTAACTGGAAACACCATGGTCTGAATCAGATGCACCTTAGTCCTCAAACTGGTATTATTATTCCTCAATAATTTGGAGAGGTCCCTAACTGCAGACTTTCCCAGTTCAATACCTCTCCTAATTCCTTGACTGTTGGTACTAAGGGTGTTAACTGTGGATCCAAGTAAGATGAAGCTGTTAACAGTTTCAATCTTCTCTCCATCTATCATGATGCTGCCTATCAATCCAGTGTTAAAAATCTTTGTTTTCTTAATGGGTAAAATATTAATAAAATCTAAAATTTGGTTTAAATGCAAACAAAAATAGCTCTACAATACAAAAGCCAACACCACCTTCATACAACACAAGAAGCCATTCTTTGGTCTCTGGCATACCACCACCACCACCTGCTCTTGAGTTCACCCAATTTATGGTGGCCCCAGGGAGCTCTGGGGATGTAGCTTGCAAGCAGCTATGCCGCTAATCCAGAGCTTAACCAACTCTCTCTGGTGCTTTAAATCCACTGGTACTGAGGGAGAAAGATAATCAATCTCCTCTTACGTCCCAACTCAAAAGCAATGAAGTTTTTTACTTTTAGTAGCTTCCAGCGCATTAGAGTAGAACTGTGATTATAAAGCACACATTTTCTGCACAAGTATTTACTCTACCTGAAATCTCTGTATCTACATACACCTTTCCAAGACTGGATACCTTCAATTGTTAGGAGACTCTTCCTTGGGTTGCGATGAGTCATATCTGTTTATAGTTTTGCTCTCTTTAGGTCTTCTGTCTTCATTCTTCCTACCTATATGTAGTCTAGTCCTAACTTTACTTAGTCACCACGTAACTTACATTCTGCCTCAAGATTCTTCATGAAACTTCACCTATTCATTTTATTTTGTCTTACATGATTTTTAATGTCATCTTCACCTTTTTTCGTTATTTTTTAATAAAAGTTTTTATTTTAATTGTGATATTACTGGAACTTTACAGGAAAGTTGGATTTTCATTCATTCATTGTTGCACATTTTACCCCTATCCTTCCCTTCTCCCTTTTCAGCAGTTCACTTAAAAAAAAATTTATTCACTGTTGCACAATTACCTCCTCCTCATTTCCCCAATCCTGTTTGTAATGTACCTTATATTCTGGGCTGTTGTTGTACATATAATGTCTAATCACATATTCCTTTTAAACAGCTCTTTCCTTCATCTGTCCCAATTCAATGCTCATTATCCACTCTTAATTCTATTCTCCTCCCAACCCTCCGACCTGATTTACAACAGTAGGGCTATGAAGTGACTGAGGTATTTCACTCAGCATAATGCCTTCCAGGGTCACCCATGTTGTGTAATATTTTATGAGTTATTGTCTTTCAGTGCTATGTAGTGGGTGCATGGAGATGCTCTGATGTCCACATGATGCAAAAACTTGAACATTTAGAGATCACATAATCTCTGGTGTTGCACAGTGGACAGGTGGCCTTAGTAAACATCAATATTTAAAAATGCTCTTCATGTGGATGTATATAACATAGTTTTTCTACGCACTTGCTTGTTGATGGGCAGTTGGGTTGCTTCTACCTCTTTGCTATTGTAAATAACGCAGTAATAAAACATGGGTGTGCATATATCTGTTTGGATGGCAGTTCTAATTAATACTCATAACTAGACATTTGTACAGAGCTTATCAAATGCTTTCTTTTGATCTGAGTACTATGCTGCTATTCCTAGAACAGTCCTTCCCTTTTTTTCAGTAGCTGTATCATACTGTTTGCTGTTCTTTAATGAACTCATGTTCAAGACACTCCTCAGTCTTTTCCACATAGATTACTGTGAAATAACAATGGAGATAAGAGTGCCTTCTACTAACAGGTCTCTATTAATCTAATACAGCAATTAGAAATATTTGAGTGTTTTATGTTAGGAAGAGGGAGTTCAGCAGCCTAGTGGGTAAGGAATTATATTGCTAACCCAAAGGTAGAGTGTTTGAATCCCCTATCTGCTCCATAGAAGAAGGATGGGCAATCTCCTGCTGTGTGCTTGATTTACAGCCTCTGAAAACCTACTGGAGGGTCAGGTAGGCATTAGTACCAACTCAAGGGCACATAACAACACATGCTAGGAAAGGGAATTCTGGTGGAGCAGTCTGTAGGGAGAACTAGTAACTCAATGACCAAGCCTCTCTGTCAGTTTGAATCCACCAATGGCTCTGCCAAGAGAAAGATGGGCAATCTCCTCCAATGTGGTTTACAGCCTCTGAAAACCACTGGAAAGTCAGCTATGAGTCGGTTTCAACTCCACAGCAATGAGTTTTTTAGTTTTTCATATAAGTCAATGTCTTACCATTCATTCTTAGAATTTTTTTCCCTTCACAAAATCAAACTAGCCAGTCTTTGTAAAGTCTATCAAGTCTATTTATGAGTCTTTTATCTCCCAGCTCTAGTCAAATCATAAAACTGAGAAAAACACCAAATTGCAAGTGCACACTTTAAAGCTGCCATGAAACCAAAGTGTCCGATGAGTTTCCCAATCGCTCTTCCTGGTTTGGAGTCACCTATTATGCAAAGCCAACTCATTTCCTTACATCTGGGCATCATCACTCTATGTCCTGCCCCTCTACATTTCCAAATCCCTTTGAAGCCAAAACATCAGTCATTGGCTTTTGGTTGTGTTGTTTGGGTTTCCCCCTCCAGCCTCCACGCTGTAAAAACCATACATAACTCTCGTGCATGAGGATGCTCTTATGTCCACACGAGACAAAACCTTGAACTTTTAGAGACTGCTTAATCCCTGGTGTTGCGCACTGGACAGGGAGCCTTGGTAAAAACATCAATATTTAAAGGTGCTTTCCGTGTTTGTCTCTTTAGGGATGAAAGGTTCTTGCCAGGACGTGGAAGCCAAGAACACTCTGTTACCTCAAACAACTCCTAAAACCAAACGGAGGGAGGAGACGGCTCGCCGGGCTGGAGGCCGAGCGGGCTCGGGGTCCCTCGGGGAGTGACAGCGCCGGCTGGCGCGCCCGCGACTCCCTTACCTCTCTTGTCCAGGAGCCACATGAACGCGAAGCAGGGCAGGAAGCCGATGGGCCCCCACAGGACCAGCAGCGCGATGTCCCAGCTGGAGAAGCCGTAGGCCTGGCGCGCCGAGTTCTGGATGGGGCCCCAGGTGTTCCAGACCAGGCCCTGCGCGAACGCGAGCAGCGAGAAGAGCAGCAGCACCAGCCAGCGGCGCCCGTACACCCGCCCGGGACCCGGGACCGCCGCCGGCAGCACAGCGGCCGCCGCCGCCTCCCGGCTCCTCCAGACAGCTCCCGGCCTAGGCCCATGCCCCGGCCCCAGGAGCGGCTGCCGCTCCTCCTCCTCGCTGCTCCAGCTCGAGCCCATGGCGACGCGCGACCCGCAGGGCCTCTGCCTGGGGAGGTCCGTGTCGCCGCCAAACAGCCCCGCGCAGGAGCGGCTGGAGGAGGTGGTGGCTGCGCCCGCTTCGCTCGCCCTCGGCCTCGCGGCCGGCTGCCTGCTGCGCCTGCGCTGCCCGAGCCGATCGCGGAGGGGAGGCGGGGCCGGAGGAGGATAGGTGCTGGCCAGGTGTTGCCCCTGCGCTTTGTGCTGGGAGCAGAGGAGCTGGGGTGAGAATCGAAGACAGGGTGGAGCTGAAAAGGCAGAGAGCTGAGGACTGAGCCCGAGGAAGGGGAAACTCCCAGAGAC